TCTCATCTTCTCCAATAGCACTGAACGACAGAAACTGGAAAGCTTCTACTTATTTCCTTCACTGGCCTGAATTTGAATCTTCTACTTTGTAGAATTTATGCCAATTCTAAAAAAAAAAATCCAAACAACGAATGTTGCAATACAGTTTCTAGGCTAAAATTAAAATTAGATCTCCATATAACAGAACTACTATAAAAATATAAACCTTCTGTGCATTATGTTTGTTTTTTGATTTCTCCCTCCTTGCTATGGGAATGTGTTCAAGCTCACGTTTTGCTCTCACAATACATTTGTTTCGTCTGCTACTTTTTTGTTGTTCTCCCTAACTTCTATGCAGTGTTCACTGGCAGATTCCAAATAAATCCCCACACTACATTTAAGTTTTGTTTGCTACTAGGTCACAAATACTAAATAGATTATCTACTAAATAGATAAATATTCTTCTCACAGCAGATCCAGATAAGGTGTGTGATATGAGATACAAGGATTTTGTGTGTGAAAAATATATAGAATTATGTCCATTTAGCAAACCTGAGCCATTCTGCCCCCCCTTCCAGGGAAACTTAAGGGGGAAGGAAAATACAAGGGGTTTGCTCATCTGAAAAACTTTCAGGAGAAAATATTTTGTGAATGTGTAGAATTCTGATTGATAAGAAGCACACTGCTCTAGGAATTAGAAACTGCTTAGCTCCTGAAAGAATAGTTAATTGTACATCTGGTGTCCTGAAATGCCTTCTCAGCTGGAGAGAGGAACTTGGAAGAAACAGTGAGTCACCCTACCAGCCTTTGATTTGAAAACCCTGCCAGAAAGTGCTTGTGGAACTTTTCCCCCTGCCTGGACTCTGTGAAGTCCTGTCAACAGAGAGCACTCGGAGCTGGAGATCTCGCTGCTTCCAGCACTCCTTCCACGTTCGTGCACAGCACACCTCTGCTTGAAGTACTATGGTAGTGGTGAGATCTGCCCATGCTGAAGCCAGTGAGAGCATCCCAATGGATTTTACAAAGCTAGAACAAACCCCAATCTACACTGTTAACAAGCCAAACCAAGATGAAAATCTGAAGACACTGAGTTGAAAAAGAAAACGTTAGGATTTGTTCAGTAGTTAAGCAATGCTAAATACCTCTAGTTTAACAACCAAATCTGCTTTACAACAACAAATCTAAACCATACCCCTCAGTCCAAGTCTGTCCAATAGCATAAACTAGGTAGTAACTACTTTTCATTCATTCTGCGTGAGCTCCATTAAAACTTGAAGATTGTAAATTGCTGCTTTTGTCTTATTTTTTTAGTCACAGAAAGGCAATTCTGGTTGAAGCTTAAATTAAGTATATTCATTAGTAATTCTTTAGTGTAGTTGCACTTTCTTTGCTGTGATGTTTCCTTTTAAGTTTATGTGTCTTTCTTTTCTAGTGCATCAAGACTTACCTACTGTCATATTTTAAAATGCTTCATTCTTATACCCTTAAATGCTTTTTGTATTGCCTTTGATGATAGGTACATCTCTGGTTTTGGTAGTCTTATCTGTTTCAAAAACCCACTGCCTGTCTGTATTGGGTTTGTGCAGCTAGGTTTTGGTTGCAGTGCAGCTACAGGAGTGGCTTCTGTGAGAAGCAGCCAGAAGCTTCCCCTGTGACTGATAGGGCCAAGGCCAGCTGGCTCCAAGATGGACCCGTTGCTAGCCAAGGGTGATGGTTGTGGCGCCTCTGGGATAACATGTTTAAGAAGGGGGAAAATAATGTGCAATGGCAACTGCAGCCAGAGAGGGAGGAGTGAGAATACGTAAGACCAACAGTTCTGCAGACACCAAGGTTAGTGAAGAAGGAGGAGGAAATGCTCCAGGCACCAGAGCAGATTCACTGACAGCCTGTGGTGCAGACCATGGTGAGGCAGGCTGTGCCCTACAGCTATGGAGGGTCACGGTGGAGCAGAGACCCACCTGCAGCCCAGGGCGGACCCCACAATGGAGCAGGGGGATGCCCAAGGGAGGCTGGGACCCCATGGGAAACCCATGCTGGAGCAGGCTCCTGACAGGACCTGTGGACCCATGAAGAGAAAAGACCACACTGGAGCAGGTTTGCTGGCAGGACTTGTGACCTGGAGGACTGCACCCCGTGGGAGGGACCCACGCTGGGGCAGTTAATGAAAGACTGCAGCTGGTGGGAAGGAGTCATGTTGGAGAAGTTCATGGAGGATTGTGTCCTGTTGGAAGAACCCCATG